TATTGGTGTAGTGGACGTTAAATTGGCCGCCAGTTTGAAAGTTTTTTGCACAAGATGTTGTTTCAACCATTTTTGGCGGAAAAAATTTTGAAAGAAGGCTTCGTAAGATTTTTGTCGAGAAAGTCGTCAGGGGGAGCACTGTGCAAATTCGACCAAATTTTCCCGCCAAAAGTCTTAGTATATATTTCAACGAACTTTTGTTGACACTTTTGCGATTATGTAATTGAAAATCTGATTAAAGAATATTTGTAGACAATAAAAGAATTCAAAGGAAAAAGCTTGTATTGTTTATTGAATGAAGACAAAGAATAAAAAAGTAAACAACATTGATGTTTGACTTTTATTTTGATGATGTTTATTATAACAAAAATGAAAAGACAGGTGAAATATAAACTTTTATTGTTTCATTAATTACTATGAAAAAATACGGCGCATGCGTATTTTGAGCCCCGTATTTTTCTTTAAGTCTTTTGGCGGGAAAATTTGCCACATTTGAACATATGTTACTTACAGAGCTTGTGAAAAATTTTAAAAAATATGGCAGGAAAAAAAGGAAAATTGGAAATTTTTCAAATCCAACAAAATCGCGAAATAACATCTGCAAATCTTCTGTTTTACGCAAATGAAACTTAGCTCTGACTCGCCATGTCCATGAGAAATGTGCTACGTCTGCTTTTCCTCTAATGAAATAAATCTTTTCTTGTTGATGTAAAACCCCTCTCGCTTTACTCATGCTTCAAGCATCGGACGTATTCACCGTTTAATCGGCAAAAAAAAATGATGATAAAGATTACTCCAAAATATGCACCAGATCCTACCGTTGCTTTTCAAGCAGTACTGACCAAACACGAGTCGATCGCAGTAAAAAAAAAACTTGACTTATGTTACATTGTTAATCGCTTTAATATATAGATAGAAGGCTGGATTTAATGATTAATTTAACATGATTGCTGATGAATATTCTTATACTGTCAAAATATACAAATTCAAGTTTCCGCGTTCAGCTTTTTCATACTTGTGTTCAGGTATCGAGTGATTACATTCTGAGCGGGATATGATCTAACTTTCTACTGAAACCGAAAATGATCAAATTACATCAATAGTTGGCAGAATGACGAAAACATTGAATTTTAGGAGAACTGAGTAAATTATCTTGCAAGTTCAAGTTGTATGTTTTCTGTCATTGCTCACCAAGTCTAGATAAATATATCAAGTGACGACTCGAAGTACCACACTCTTGTTAAAATGTTTAACCAAGACAGAAAACAACAGAGAAAAAACAGAGAAAAAACAAGAAAAAAAAAAGGAGAGAAAAAAACTCGCACGCACACTGACAAACAAGACAAGAGGTCAAAGGATTCCTATTATTTTCACCTCACAACGAAGTGTGAAGTTGCGGTACGTGAAAATCGTGAACAACATTTAAATAACTTAGAAAAATGAAACCTTCAGCAACGTATTTCTAGTACAAGAAGCACTATATATTCTGATAAAAATATCTATTTCCAAAATCATTCTGCAGAAAACAGCTTTGATGAAACGTGTTGGTTAAAAGTCTGGCAAGATATCTGCATAGTCCCACACTGAATAGAGTTCTTGCCTATAAGTCTTAGATAACGAGGACAATAGCGCCGGAAACAATAGATTGTTTTCGTTTTTTGTTTTAGGATTCGTTTGGCTTAATGCAGTTTAATGTTAACTGTATGCCCTTTTCTCTACTACTACTACTACTACTACTACTACTACTACTACTACTACTACCACTACTACTACTACTACTACTACTACTACTACTACTACTACTACTACTACTATTACTACTACTACTACTACTACTACTACTACTACTACTACTACTACTACTACTACTGCTACTACTACTACTACTACTACTACTACTACTACTACTACTACTACTACCACTACTACTACTACTACTACTACTACTACTACTACTACTACTACTACTATTACTACTACTACTACTACTACTACTACTACTACTACTACTACTACTACTACTGCTACTACTACTACTACTACTACTACTACTACTACTACTACTACTACTACTACCACTACTACTACTACTACTACTACTACTACTACTACTACTACTACTACTATTACTACTACTACTACTACTACTACTACTACTACTACTACTACTACTACTGCTACTACTACTACTACTACTACTACTACTACTACTACTACTACTACTACAACTACTACTACTACTACTACTACTACTACTACTACTACTACTACTACTACTATTACTACTACTACTA